ATAGAAACATTTTATTTAATGATTTCCAATATCTGCAAACAATGTGAAGAGAGATTTATAACCTTTGGGAAGTTTAAAGCATTATACTCATTTTACATTTAGTTTTTTCACATCTTTTTTGAGCAATATGTTAAGATTCCTCTAAGGATCAGGAATTAAATATGTACTATGTATAGAATGCCTCATATGCATGTGAAACTGGCCAATAACTAAGGAAGACCAAAGAAGAGTTGATGGTTTTGAATTATGGTATCTGTGAAGAATACTAGAAATACCATGGACTACCAGAAGAATGAACAAATCTGTCCTGGAAGAAGTGTAGTCGGAATGCTTCTTAGAAGTGAGAATGGCCTAAGTTTGTCTCACCTACTTCGGTCATGTTGTCAGAAGGGGCCATTTGCTAGAGAAGGATATCATGCTTGGTAGAGGGTCAGTGAAAAAGGGGAAGACCCTCAACAAGATAGACTGACACAGTGACTGCAATGATGGGCTCAATTATGTGAGGATTCAAGGATTGTGAGGATGGTATACAACTGGGCACTGTTTTGTTCTGTTGTACATAGGGTCACTATGAGTCAGAGCTGACTCAATGGCACCTAACAACAACACGTGTATAGAATAAAGCGCCCTGGTGGTGCAGTGTTTAAGTGCTTGACTGTTAAACTGAAATGTCAGTAATTCAAACCCACCAGCCACTCACAGCCTTGGAAACACTATAGGGCAGTTCTACTCTGTCCTATAAGGTTTCTATGAGTCAGAATCAACTAGATAGCAATGGGTATGGGTTTGGGTTTGGTTCTGGTGTGTACAGAATTGTTAGTATCCCCATACTTTTTTTTTTTCCCCTAAGTAATAAACAGAATATTTTTAATAATATTATTAATGATTACATTATTTAAGTAGAAAATAATGTTTTTGTTTTTGTTTTTATTATTATTATTTATTTAATTTATTTTTATTTGGGTGAAGATTTACAGAGCAAATTCACTTTCCATACAGCAGTTCACATATACTTTGTCTCATGTAATTGACCACAGTTTACCACAAT